AGTCTAACCCTTTCAAACAGAACAAATGAAAATTTTGCCATTTTCAAACTGGTGACACAGATCAGATGTTAAAGGACTTAGTCCTTCAGATAATCTGTGCGGGAGAGCATGCTCAAAACGCCCCCAATTCCTTGTGGATCTTAGCGTATGTACACAAGGTAGTATAAAGTACGTGCATGGCTAGTAGAAACACGAAAGTCTCCCCGCTCACTTCAAGAAATAGCACAGTGCCGGAAAGGAAAGAGCATCTGCGCACCTTCTCACTGGCGCCTCCTCTTTCCGGTGCCCAAGTAGTCTTGTTTCTGCCTTTGAGGTATTTTTCACTTTGTAATTTCCCCATCTATCCATTCACCTATCTGTATTTCTCGGACGCTTTTGGTTTTGCCAATATTTTAAGGTTTATTAAGGTCTGACATACAATAAACTTCATAATTCAACATTATGGCATTTTGGCATACACATAACGCCTGTGAAAACATACACATGATGGAGCACTTATCACCTTAAGAAGCCTTGTCTTAGAGCTGGAGATGCACACTTTAATCCCAGCACTCAGGAGGCAGAGGCAGGTGGATCTCTGAGTTCCAAGCCAGCCTGGTCTACAGAGCTAGTTCCAGGAAACCCTGTCTCAAAAAATAACAAAGTTTTATCTTGCCCTTCTGCAATCTTGTGACCCCTTTCCCATCCTCTAAGTATCAGACTTACTTTCTGTCATCTACTGCTTTGCATTTTCTCTATTTCGTAATAATGAAATGATGCAAGTTATACATTTGTTTGCCATTTTCCCCTGGCGTATGTATTTTGAGATTCTTCCATGTTATGTGTTCTTTGCTTTCCATTGGCTTCCAGAGAATATGTTTATTCACTTGCTTATGGGTTAGTTGTGTTTCAGTGAAAGGTATGTGTAAATCTGCTAAGATGGTCTTGAGCCACCATGTGGTTGCCAGGAATTGAACTCAGGACCTTTGGAAGAACTATCTCTTTAGCCTCTTGATTATTATTAATACCATCATTATTGTTATATGTCCTCACCAGCAAACAGTACGGTCTGACCTGGTCAGTGTGAAATGGTATTTCATTGTGATTTCAATTTGCATCTCACCCAATGATGTTGGGCACATGTTTTTTTTATTTATAGATATTTTTGGGGTAGGGGTACAGAAATCCTTGTTATTTGTGATGGTGTTCTTTGCTAAACAAATTCTACACTTAACATGTTCAAATGATCAGTGCTGTTTTTCCTTTGGTTTTGGTCTGCTGTGAAAGGTTAGTCCTTCCACCACCATCTCTGCCTCAAAACCTCCCAAATTCTAGTGCCCGTTTGGTTCAGTTCGGATGGCTACACTTTGGCTAAAGGCATGTTGCACCTTTAGTCCTCTTTAAAAGCTAGACTGGATGTCCTTCTTTTCTGGTTTGTGAACCTTTTTACCTAGTGCTCTAGAAAACACTTCCTATGCTAATAGTTGGTGTTGGAAATACCAACCTCTACCAAATTCTGTCTTATATTTTCATTGTATGGTGAGTTATTCTTTATTTATTTGTTTGTTTGTTTGTTTACTTTGAGACACAGTCTCAACACGTATCCCTGACTGGCCGAGAGCTCTCTAAATAAACTAGGCAGGCCTCAGACTCCGAGGCCCACCTGCCTCGAGCTCCTGAGAACTGGGAAGAAAGGTGTGTACTTCCGCGTCTAGCCTTAATTCTATTCTCATGCTGCATTCGTTACATGTATTGTGTTTGCACATGTCACAGCACACATGTGGAGGGCAGGGAACAACCTGTGAATGTTGGTTCTCTCCTTCCATCTTGTGGCTCCCAGGGATCAAATTCAGATCAGTCACGTCTAGTGACAAGCAGCTTCGCCATCTTGTTGGCCCTACTGTGGATTAAATTTAATGCAGCAAAATGGATCTGTCATCTCTGTTTTACTTTGCTTGTTATGTTTTGTGTAAACATTTAACAGTTTCCTGTTTTTCTTTTTATACTTGAATCTTTTGCTTGGAATGAGTGGTGTGTATGTGTGTGTTTGTGTCTGTGAATGCTGAGAGAAAAGATAGTTCATTCTGTTCCCTTGGGGGCAGTTGTCCTTGCTCACAGCCGTGCAGTTCCTACTGCTTGCTAACCCCATTCCTTCCTAAACTCTGCTTAAATTCTACTTAAATTCTCTTCCTAATTCAACTATTCTATTTGTGATTGTATCTCAATAAGAGTATCTACGTGCTTACAGCTTTAGAAAGGTTTGACAGGGCCAGCAGGGCAGCTTAACAAGTAACAGTGTTTACTACCAAGCCTAACAACCTGAGTCCAATCCCTGTGCCCAGGACGATGGAAAGACAGAACTGACTCAAGGAAGGTGTCCTCTGATTCATGCCATATGTGTACAAATTTACACACACACCAAATTTTGTGTTTAGTGGGATTTTGACGGCTGTAGAACAATCCTTGACTTTTTTCAGGATTGTCTGCACTACACTTGCCTCCTGGGTCATCCATATGGAACCATCTATAGCATTTCCCTTTGAATCTTTTGAATTACAGTGGAATTACAGATGGGTTTGGGGAGAATTTTCATCTTTACAGTATCAAGCCCGCTCCTAATTCAAGAGCTCTAGTTAGGATTTGTAAATATCCTCCATTAAAATGTTATCATTTTCATCAGGTTTAACTTCATAACTTCACATAATTATCTTTTTTGCCCATAACTTTCTTTTGTACAAGACTTGTGGTCACTTTGTCCTCAGTCAGGCCAATCTACTTAGCCAAGGAAATGTGTCTGCTTCATCCAAGTTAGCATACTTCTTCATTGTTCTCTATTTTCTTATTGATTTCTGTTTTGTTGTTGTTGTTTGTTTTTTCCTTCTTTGGTTGTTCTCATGGTGCCTAAAATTGAGTATAGACTTTCTAATTGTTATTTAGTCTTCTGTTTGTTTGTTGTTCTTGGCTTCTTCGAGACAGGGTTTCTCTCTGTAGCCTTGGCTGTCCTGGACTCTTTGTAGAGATTCACCTGCCTCTGCCTCCCAGAATGCTGGGATTCCAGGTGTGCACCACTGCATCTGGCTGTTATTTGTTCTTGTAGCCCAGGACCACCTCAGATTCACTGCATTGCTGAAGCAGGTGTAGGAGTGTGGGCACACAGCAGGCCCAGCCGTGTCTTCCAGTGCTAACATGCAAGCTGTAATTCTCTCAATACTCCTGCTTCAGCTACAGTCTGCACTGCCTGGCATGTTGTTTTCATTGTTCTTGAGGTTTAAAATAACTTTTGAACTTTTCTTTTTTTCCACTTCTATTACATAGCCTGAGTATTTTTAATTTCACTCTAATTTAACCCATTGGCACTTTAGCTGAACTTCTTTGCATTAACAATCAGTGGTTCCTTTGAAGGTAATGTGCATCTTCAACTGGTTTTCAGAGTCTTGCATTTAAACTTTGTGCTGCTTATGTAAAACGTAAGCCCCACGCTACCTACTTTCATACTGACCTAACAGTGTCCTCTACCAATTCTGACTGTCCCACAGTTTGGTATAACATGCCTGTTGCCAAACCTCACAACCTGAATTCAGGCCCTACACAGGGTAGGAGAAAACCAACTCAGAAGTCATCCTCTGAAATTTACCTATATGCTGTGGCTAGCGATCTACACACATAGAATAAATAAACAGATGTACGAAAAATAAAGTGCAGCCTGATTTCTTCTTTCA